TACGTGAGCTGCGTTGTTTGATTATGTCATTCTAACTTATTGGCAGCGTTTTACTCCCCAGCAAACTCGAGACCTGCTAAACAGACAAAAGGAGACGCAGGGTCCTGCAATTTGCAATCTCTGCCTTCAAGAATTCAACATGTATAAATGGCCCAGCGCGAATCAAAGTCGGATGGAGAATCTGGAAAGCTTGGTCTTGTTCCTTCTACCAGGTAAGATGAAATACTCACACAATGGATTTTATCTGCTAACCTCAAGACAGCGCACATGGAAGATAGTTTGCTAAATAGCCCTGGTTTCATTCCTCGACGACCGAGTTGGCGGGGTTTCTTCCTTGAAAAGCCTCACCTGCAATATGACTTTGACGCTTTAGCCCCTCAAGATCAGATATCGACATCGGTCCAGCGTGCACGTTCGACGATGCTGTGGGGAGACGATTATGGTACACTAGCTAATATCACGCGCGATTATCAGAGTTCCCTGCCACAACCTGTTTGTTTTTCCCCTCCATGCATGCCCGAAACACTCGTCTAACAAATGACAGAATGTCTCTATAGAGGCGGCGTCGACATGCCTGAGTGCGGTCTGCGATCTTTACAACTGCTTCATTGCTTCCCCAACCCGCCCTCCAACCTGCTCCGTGAATGAAATAATCGCCAATGTCCGTACTGTACGCATTACGCTCCGTAATGCCTTCCAACAACTGGAATTTCTCGCTCTTGCCCCTTCCGAGAAAAGGTCAAGAAAAGATTGGTTTCCGACGTTCATCAGTGCTGTGATATTGGCTATGGCTGCTATTACATATATCGATATCCTCGGCTCATGTCCGTCCCCCTATAAAGAGCAGATTTGGGGGGTGGATTGGGGCGAGAGGGTGAAGCGGATGAGGCATGGCGGATATGGCATGCTGATCAACGTGTTAAGACAGAATACGAATGGTGTGAATCCATTGAAACTGGAGTGTTGGGAAGAAGAGGCAAGCCCATTCATTATCTCGACGCCGAAGAGCTATAGTCAAGGGAAAAAGAGCCCCGATGCAGAACCGAGGAATAGGAGGGAGTCGATAAAGGGACAATGGGGAATTGGAACGCGCGCGGAAAGGGAGCGGAATGTATTATTAGGGAGACAAAGCCCAGCGGCAATGGAAGGCGTGCTGGCAGTGAAGAAGTGGCAGCAAAGGTATAAGGAAGATCTAATTCTTGGGCAGGACATGTTTACCAAGGAGATGTATGCGCAGGCTATGATGCGTCCGGTTGCGAGTCTGTGGAAAGTGTTTGAAATGACGGACACGGGTTGACCGCTGTAGGATACAAATAATAAAACCTATCCAGAAGTATGTAATATTTGTTCTTTGTGCAACACTATAGTTACCTAAAAAAGCTTGCGGCTCAGGCTGAATTCAAGTGCATTGCATGGGTGTCAGCTTGAATGGCAACAAATACTAGACCTAAAAGCAATACATGGCGGAGGAAGATCTGTAGCCAAGGCTTAATGATATCTATGTTTTTCATTCTAGTTACTGGCATGTGTGGGAAGAAGATAAAATATTGTGCGATCCTAAACAGGAAGCCAAGCACGTGGGGTCGGCTTTGCTACACTGCCAATCAAATCCAAGCGATGACGATGTTCGTTTTTCAAGGCTGAACCTCGACCTCGTTGCGCCCCAAACATTCTTTTATCCACAGCTCTCTACCCGCCCCAGATTTTTTAGAGCTTGATTGTGCTACACTTGGCTTCTGCGTGCCATCTGCCGGTTTCCAATTGGGGCGATGTGTGTTGTACGACGCACTCGTTACACGGCGAAATAATCCGCGATCTAGCCTACTAAAAAGCTTCTCTGCATCGCCATCCTGGTACGGAGATAGCATCTACAATTGCGCAAGCAGTGAAACACTCGAATCACTCTTTCCCCAACAACCAGAAATATCCCTGTCGCCTTTCACTGCTTGGGTTATTGAGGGAACCCTCTTGAAGCAACCCTCACATTGTGATGTCAGCGCCGCTTCCTCCACGACTCAATATGCAACCAGCACCGAGCTCTGGCAATACTGGCGCCCAGCGCCCAGATCTCACCATTATCCAACTCACCACGGAAGGGCCGCAATCGAACACAACGCTAACACCTGCTGCTGGCGCATCGACAGTTCCGTCTCGCAAAAAGCGGAATCATCGCGGTGGGAAGAAGAAGCGTAGGAGGCAATCTTTTGCGGTATCCGTTGAAGATGGGTCCGGTATGCCGCACTCGGCTCGGCCTGGGAACTCGAGTAATGAGACGAGGACAAGTTTCTATAATCGAGGACAGAACCTGAGCGGAACGAGTATTGAGAGCGAAGCGCTTCTAGACCATCGGTATGTGCTTGTTGACGAAGGGAGTAGGATAAGCTAATGGATAAAATAGAGAGCAAAAGAGTATGCGGCCAAGACGATCGAGTGTTATGGCTTTGGGTGCAAATCCCTTTGGACAACAACCTGTTTTTGAATCCCCTACTTCGTATCGACCTACATACCCGAATCCGTTCTCTGAACGTCAGGTTAGTCGGAAGGCGACAGTTAAAAGTGATAGTGGTGATGAGGACGACGAGAGGGCACCGCTTCTGTCAAGCAGCTCGCGAATAAAGACAATGTCAGGGTTGGGCTTTGGTACACAGAGTGGAGACGGCACAAAGCCAAAGCTTAGCAGACAATCATCGAAGTCATCATCGAGGAGCAAGAAGAGGCAAACTATATATGACAAGATAAGCCCGGCTTTTCCAAGCAATAATGAGGAGTATAATGTCAATTATCCGCCGTCTGTGCCTCAGAGCCCAGAACTAGGAGCTTCAAATATGGATTTTGGAGATATGCTTGCAAGGGAAGACTTCTCGCCTCCAAATGGAGGGGAATTAACTAGCGAGCATGATGTAGACGAAAATAGTACTCCCCCGTCTTTCCAAAGACGGCATACCATCGCTTTGCAAGCGCAAGAAGATGTGTGCTTCCCAATTGAAGGCATGTCTGAACTGGGAGACGACGATTTAACGAGGCCAGGGGACGGTACGTACCGGAACAACAATGGACCCAGGAGAAGAAGAGCGAAATGGCCAGATTTGACTATGCTAGACGAATGGAGCAGATTTGAGAAAGAGGGTAGAAGTGAGGAACGACGGGCAAAGAGAATCACAGAGCCACAACTCATTGGAGGACGACTAAGGCCAGTACATAAAGGCTGGCATCGCGCTGAGGATGACGCACCTTACAGGTTTACGTACTTCAATGAAGAGTTCCAGAGCACAATTCACAGTCAAACTATATCCGAGTTGGTTCAGCCTGGAAGCAGTTTCCGCGAGCTTTTCATCCCTGACCGCCCAGAATTAAGTGATTCTGAATCGGATGAGGAGGAAGAGGAAGCCAATCCTATGTTTCGTCAACCAAGGGATGATCATCATATCCGACATACAAATGGGCAAAATGGGGATTCGAGAGGTCCCACGCGTCAGACATCGATCGCAGAGACTATACGACCAGGTGGTTCTGTTGCAGGAGATACTACTCGTCCAGGGTCAGTCAAGGCCGATGAAAAGGGTTCTAGAGAAGCATCGAATGACACGACACCGAACCGCTCCAAATCACCTACAGCCAGCAATATCGAACCAAACGGCGAGAAGCCAAAACGGTATGGTGAGCGTCCTACATGGTGGCTCGACGTCTTGTCCCCTACGGAAGCTGAGATGAAGGTCCTTTCTAAGACTTTTGGCATCCATCCGCTCACTGCAGAAGATATCATGATGCAAGAAGCCCGTGAAAAAGTTGAACTCTTCCGAAACTACTACTTCGTCAACTATCGCTCTTTCGAGCAAGATATGAACAATGAAGACTTCCTAGAGCCTGTAAACATGTATGTTGTGGTCTTCCGCGAAGGCGTTATCAGCTTCCACTTCTCTCTGACTCCTCATCCTGCCAACGTCCGCCGGCGGATTCGCCAGCTGAAAGATTATCTTATCCTGAGCTCAGACTGGATCTCTTATGCCATTATTGACGATATCACGGATGTCTTCGCCCCGTTAATCCAAAATATCGAGGATGAGGTTGACGATATTGACGATGAGATCCTTAAGATGCACACTGTAGGCGATGATGATGATAATAAAGACGAGAAAAAATCTGAAGCAGGCGACGGTACGTCGGGGCAAAGCGGCGGCGATATGCTGCGTCGTGTCGGCAATTGTAGGAAGAAGGTCATGGGCCTCTATCGATTGCTGGGGAACAAAGCAGATGTTATTAAAGGCTTTGCGAAGCGATGTAATGAGCACTGGGAAATTGCGCCACGCAGCGAGATCGGGCTTTATTTGGGTGATATCCAGGATCATATCGTGACCATGACCGGTAACCTTTCACATTACGAAAAGTAAGTCCATTCCTTCTTCCCTTCTTGCCAGCGTAATATATACTGACGGTCAAGCCAGGATCCTGGCCCGTTCTCACGGCAACTACCTGGCACAAATTAACATCCGAATGAATGAGCGCCAAGAACAAACCGCAGACGTCCTCGGCAAGCTTACCGTCCTCGGTACTATTGTCCTGCCTATGAACATAATCACGGGTTTATGGGGCATGAACGTCTGGGTACCAGGACAGGAGTACGAGGGGGACCTAACCTGGTTCTGGTGCCTCACCGCGGGTCTGTTGGTATTTGGTCTTTCATGCTTCTTCATCGCGAAGTTGTTGTATCGCATAGTGTAGGAGAGATGAGGAAGGTGTACGATTATCGGACGGAGAGAAATGTACATATGACGGCGGGTATACGCAAATGCCGGTGAGGCTAACTTGGAACGTATTGGATACTAGCATAGCGGGATGTACAAAAGCAACGATAGAGCGTCTCCCAGTACCTTGTTTCTCGCATGCTGTATGATTTATGCCCGTGGCCATATCACACAAATGAATCATTCTCTCACCCAAGGTGAATTTAGTTTATATCCTCATTTAGAGCCCGGAACCTCACAAATAGGCGAACGACACACGCTCCGTTGGTCCAATGGTATAAGACGCTGGCACAAACAAGCTAGAGATATTGGTTCGACTCCGGTACGGAGACATGTTTTTTTTTTCTTTTTTTTTCCCCCTTCTCTTTCTCCTTGTCGCTTCATCCTCCTATTTACCCCGATGAGGAATATCCTGTTGCAATGAACAACAAATGCTTTTGTTTATAGGAGGGCATTGTATTGAAGCAGGCGCGATCCAAGCTCGGGGTGGTATGGGATACGTAACACACCACGGCAAGAGAGGGAGAGCGGATCTGCGTGAATCGCGCACGCGCTGAAGCAGTGATATTCTTTTTATTTCCTGATGTGTCGTAAGGCAATTCTTGGTATGTTGTTCGTTTGCGCTTTGGTCTAATCGCCTAATTATGCTAATACCGAGTTATATAGGGTAGCAAATACGTCTCTCATTGATGAGTGGTTTTGTCTTGGTTCTAGTATCTTTTATAAGTAGCGGGGAAGTATACTAATAGCATTACTGCAGCGCTGGAGGCTCCTGGGACTATACTTTGAACAAATTGTTTATACTTTAATAATGAAACTGTGGTTTTGCAACCCTTTCTCCGCCTCTCAAAAGGACAAACAACGTGGTAGTTTATTGCGCATACTTGTTCAGTGTGGTGTTATATCTATGGTTATTGATATGGATTCTTTTATGATAAAACATAAATTATTATGCGGCTTGTGAGGCTCTGTGAGGTATAATTTACATGTATAAGTGAGTACGCGAGTACTTCGTTGACCGAGGCTGATTATAATTCATCAGTCGACCTTTTCACATGCCGACCTGCCAACTTTATATCTCGATTCCACCCAGAACTCAAGGTCGGTTTGAATAAGCTACATCAAAACAAGCACAGAATAGTATTAGCTTACCCATATACCACGAGTGTTGGCTTATAACCTGGTCCATGTGGGGTTCAGAATAGCCTCGGCTTTCCCCAGCTCGACTTGGCATATATATGGGCTACGTTAAACCACAGCATGACTTCCCATTCAACAAACAACCAGCAAAATGTCATTATCCATCGTTGACGCGTGGGCGAACCCGGTGCTCCCATTAAATGAAGGTGTTCCGGAGGTAGCACGGCTGTTCGCCCAGTCCGGCGCCGACACCACGCTCCTCTCGAAGCGGCGGACCCCAGCGGAGCTGGTAGCGCTGATGGACGAGGCGGGCGTCGGCCAGATCTGCTTAAGCGCGTGGTATCGGCCCGGCCAGGTCGTCTTCTCGAACGCCGAGGTCGCGGAGTTCACGAGGGCCTATCCGGACCGGTTTATCGGCATTGCTGGCTGCGACCTGCTTAATCCTGTCGAGGCGGTTCGGGAACTGAGGAAGTATATCCAGGAGGAAGGGTTCAAGGGATTGAGGGTTGTGCCTTGGTTGTGGGGGCTGCCTCCCAATGATAAACATTATTGGCCGCTGTATGTTGAGTGCATAGCTTTGGATGTGCCGTTTGTGAGTTTTCGCTTTTGAAATTTCATATTATACCGGAATATCTAAACTGATAATCATGAATTAGTTCACTCAGGTTGGGCATACAGGCCCTTTGTGTCCTTCTGAGACTGGTCGGCCAGTCCCTGTAATCATTACCCAGTTCTCCAGCTGTTCAATACTAACCATACTTAGTATATCGATGAAATCGCTCTCAAGTTCCCGCAGCTCCGTATAGTATGCGGGCACATCGGTTTTCCATGGACGCAAGAAATGATCGGCGTTGCATGGAAACACGAGAACGTGTTCATTGACACAAGCGCATATCTCCCAAAGTACTATCCTCCTGTATGTTTTGCCGATTGCGGTCGCTTTCTGAAATGCGAGCATACACTAACTGTCACTAGGAGCTCATCCAATTCTTAAATACTACGGGAAGGAAAAAGGTACTTTTTGGAACAAACTTTCCCCAGCTTTCTTGGAAGGCGTGTGTTGAGCAGGCAAAGAAGTACTTGAAGCTTCGGGAAGGCGTTGCAGAAGACTTCTTTGGTAACAACATTACGAGGGTGTTAAAATCTAGCAGAACGCAAGGACGAGATGTGAAACTTTAAGCAAGGGCATCTAGTGATACCTGCTGGCGGGTTTATATAATGTGCAATGTAGTCAGCTTTATACATAAAGTCAAGATTACTCTCAGAGAGTTTTAAAACATTTAGTTTATTTATTAACCAGACAGCAAACCAACGATTGTTTTCAAGGGGTTTTGGTTACTGCATTTCGCGATCTACTTGCCAAAAATCTCGCGCCACTCTAAAGCTGGTGGCACGTCTCAACCAGAGCACCCCAAATTGGACGAGGATGCGAGAGAACATCAGAAATGTTGGGAGAACTACGCAGCATGAGAGGAGGAAGGATTCTGATTAGGATTGAAGAAATCCGCACTTAATGGGGGATCAGAGCAGAATCAATTCTGGCAATAGATATGTGGGGTTGGAGCGAAAGTGCTACAAAAGAGGCGTATCGGTGGCGTTGAGCTGAGCTTCTGTATGTCTCGCCTGGCTCACGACCCGCATTGAGGCTTGATGGAAATAGTGGAATTGCCTCTTAAACAGAAAACATGGCCGGAGAGCTGAATCTCGCTATATACAACTGCCCAACCATCTTGCAATGAGGACGCCTCCCTCATGCCATGTGCTACCTTTTAGCGTAAGGCTCTGGGTCACTCTTTCTTTGACTGATAAGCATTGTGCTCCGCCCTCAACTGGTTGCTTTGCCGGATTCTGAAACACATATTTTCATTCGAAGAATCTTTGAGATTCGGGATAAAAGGATTGTTGAGTCTTTGCTATAGTTTGCTCTAGTTACGAGCAGTTTATTAAAGATGGAAGTCCTAGCTTTCTTCGCAGCTAAGGCAGTAGTTGCACATTTTACAGCGACGGTAGTTGGCGGTGCCGCCACAACGGCTGCCACCGCGGCAGGGGCTCACTTTATAGCTGGCGAAGCTGGGACTCACGCTGCTGCGTATCTGCTCGCTCATGGCTCCTCTAACATCGCAATGCATGTCGGCGCGAATGCAATAGCATCTACAGCCGCCTCTGTAGCTGTAGCAGGGACCGCTCTGTCGGCAGCATATGTAATAGGAAATGGTGCTTGGAGCGCGTATTCTGTAAGCAAGAAAGTGGAGGAAATTAGGAAAGAGGCAAATGGTGACGACGCCGGTTCTTCACTCCAGGAGAAAGGACCGTCAAAGCGCACCAGCACCAAATCAGCAGAGGATTTCGGCAAAGCGAGCTTGACTCCAGCGGGGATCTTGGTGTTTGAAGGTAGTTCTTACAATGACTCTGTCAATCTCCTCTTGAAGAACATTTTCGCCACAATTTTCCAAGCCGTGGATCTGTTTGTTGCGGAAATGAAACATAAGGACCATAAAGGCAAGCTCAAGACCGAACTGGCGCAGGTAGCACCCTGCAGCGGCTGCGGTAAATGCATCGATTTCGACCAGCGGCAGCAAGGCTCCCTGCTTTGCACTTGCGAATGCTCATTTGAGAAGCATCATACCCTATCTTTGATGCAGCACTTCCAGCAAGGCAGGCCGGGTTTTCTAATCTTGAAAACCATCGCACTCAATATCTACCCGCAGCTGAAGCGTCGTGGCCGCAAGGAAGGAAAGGAAATTAAGAAGAAGACTCTTAGGACCGGTAATGCTTGTATTGAATGCGGTTGTGGCGACTACGCCGCCATGTACTCCGGGGCCTCGATTTGTGTGTGTCAGCATGACACGGAAGAGCACAGCGCGTCGTACAATGATTCTCCTACCCGTGAGCTGGATACCTATCTTTCTATTATCGGGGATCGTATTTATATGGAGCAACGCCACTTGCGTGGCCCGGATTGGTTAAAGACGTCTTTGTTTCAGATTGAGGATAGTGGCGAGTGTCAGGATTTTGAATTTCGTCGCCATAGGACGTTCCATACGGATAATTCGGCGCATGATTATTGCCGTTGTGGGGGTAAGAGGTATTCGGACCATCGTCGTATTTTGGCGACGAGACTTGAGTTTGTTTGGAATATGAAGGAGAGAGAGGGGGTAAAGGCGGCATATGAAACTAATTGGTAGAGTAGTGGAGAGGAACTTCTTGTTCTACTCTATCCTGTATATGATCAAAGAATCTGCCTAGATGAATTTGAGATATATCACCTTGTAACTTTACTCGAAAAACAGCTCCCAATGGGTCATCCACTTGCGGGGCCTGAGGCACAGCTAGGCGGAAGTCCGAATCCGCACGAAGGCCGCGACGGGTAAAGGGTTATTAGGGCTGTAAGCAGGAAAGAAAAAGGAAATAGATCAAAGAAGCGAGCAATGGACGACGCGACATTCTCATACTCGCGAAAGTGGTGACAGGTCCGTGCGCACCTAGCCATATACAGGCTTGCCGTCAAGTTGTTTACCAAAAAAAGAAAAAAGATTTCTGGCCGATAGTGCCATAATATAACGAGTCGGTCAATAACCATATTATTCTCACCCCGCTCTTTGCCAAATAGTGAAACAAATCTTCAGAAACGGGCCAAGCGCCATATCCAGCTGGCTGCTTTCATTCACTGCATCTCTAGCAGTTTCGATTATGCCAATTGCCAAATGCTTTTGGCACGTAACCGGTCAATCTAAAATCACAATCTGTATCGGCTTGAAAGCTGTCGATATTTCCATTACCGGGCTGACCATACCTCTGTTGTACTTACCTCGAATTTACAGATTTTTTGATTATGTCCGGCAGATTCTCCGCTATATATGACGAGGCTGGAGGTCATGAAGCCTCGGAAGACCACAGATATCCAGAGCGTTGGATTCAAACCAGCCGAGGACAGCATAAGGATTGAATAATAACTTCCAGTTTAGTCCATTATTGCAGCCCTTGCTGGTCAAGTGACAAATATTAACCGCTGTACCTTCGTAGGCTGTAGGTTAGCAATCTATTCGTTATAACCGAAGGTATGTTGGGATGGATGGATGGTCATATCCTGTTCAGCATTATCTTGATAAGCGTGATTTTGTGCGAAATGCTCTAGTCGTTTTCTAAGGTGCTCAGGGTTTTCAGATATACATGATTGTACCTAACATACAACA